CAAACCAAACAGAAAGAGAAAGCTCCCTTTCTACTGGTTCACTCTCCCAAATATCTGCAGTGGCCTGGCCTGGGCCAGAGCCAGGAGCAGGGAACTAGGTCTCCCCCTTGGGTGGCAGGAACCCCACAGGGGCTACAATAGCAGGCAGCTGCGGTCAGGAGTCCGCTGGCTGAAGCAGGTCACCAACACCTTTGCTGCACGGACGGACACACCCCCCACACACGGAAGAGAAGGCACCCTCGAACTCAATGGACTCCGGTGCTGACTGCAGGATATTCATAGCGTGCAATTTTCTTTCACGGTAAAATGCAAGATGGAAGATCACCTGCTACCAGGGATTGCCTGACTTGGAAACATCTCGTACAGAGGAGGCAGCCTGCACTGTACCCCCATAGTCCACGATGGGGTTTTGTGTTTCTAATGCTGCTTAACAATTCCAGTGCAGCGGCAGAGCCCAGGGTCAGGGCTGCAGCCCTGGTTTCGGGCTCACAATGGACTGTGACTGCATCCAAAGAATCCTAGCATCCAAGCTCGGGCATGAAGGGTGTGAGCAGGGAACACGGTGGGCAAGAGCCACCGCTGGCGCGGCGGCACCCATCAGCACCCGCGCTCTGCGGTCCCTCCAGGCCGGCCCTCAGGCCACCGCGCACCGCCTGGAGCCCCTCTCACCCCGCACCAGCCTCCTCACAAAACTTCAAACTCAAGCCAGCGGTGGAACCGGCCGGAGGGGAGTAGGAAAACAGGGCAGGCGGCGGGAAGACCCGGAGTTCTCAGCAAAGTCAGGCAGGAAGTTCCCGCGGTAGACTGGAGACCAAGGAGACACCACCACGCGGACCTGAGACACAGGGAGAGCTTCCAACACGCCCATTCCCAGCCTCCCTCTGAGGTCTGAAACGGGAAACTCAGCTAAACCAGAACCCAAAAGGACAAGAGGAACCTAAACCCCACGCAAACCCTGAGCGCACAGCTTCGCCAGGATGCAGGGCGTCTGGGCAGACAGGGGGGTTCAGCGCCGGCTCGAGCGGGGGCGGCCCTCGGTGCCCGCCTTCTGGCAACGAGGCTGCCGCAGCCCGGTGAGCCGCTCCGCACACCCAAGAGGGAACCACGCACCGTGCACGCAAGGTTCTCTCTCACTCGCCACCGGCTCAGCCACGTGCCCCCGCCGGCTCCCCGAGACAGAGGTGGAAGGGGCAAGAGCGAGGCCGGCGCGATGGCTCGGCACGCGGGGCGCTGCGGCTGCTTCGCGAACCCCTTCGCGACCAATGCACGGTGCCAGGAGCTCACTGCACACGCGGAAAACCCCAGGTCCAGCAAGGAGGGCCCGGCTGGCCTCGCTGGGGACAGAGACCTCAGTGCGAAAGCAAACACCGGAACGTTAGCCCTCATGGGGGCGGCTCCTGCCAGGCAGGCGGGAGCACAAATCCAGGGCTGTGCTGAGAACGCCGGGACTCCCGAGAGACGGGGGTCTCGTTTCCCCGACAGCAGGGGCTCCAGCAAAGGGAAGGAAATGCTGTCGGGGTGAACTGCACTGGAGACCTTGAAAAGGGGCTGAGCGGGGGACCCATAACCCCAGAGAAGGGGCTGAGCGGGGGGACCCATAATCCCAGAGAAGGGGCTGAGCGGGGGACCTATAATCCCAGAGAAGGGCTGAGCGGGGGGACCCATAACCCCGCAGAAACGGGCTGAGCTGGGGGCCATAACCCCAGAGAAGGGCTGAGCGGGGGGACCCATAACCCCAGAGAAGGGCTGAGCGGGGGGACCCATAACCCCAGAGAAGGGCTGAGCGGGGGACCCGTATCCCGCAGAAACGGGCTGAGCTGGGGACCGTACCCCACGTTCAGAGCGCACTACGAGGGAAGGAAGCGGAGCTGCACACCGCGCTCTCCACGATCCGGGCTCGATGTCCCTGGGCTGGTGGGCCGGCTCTGCGTCCAAGACGCGCCTGCAGCCTCGTTAGAGTACAAGGCCAACCTGGAGGCCAAGCCCGGGGCTGGGGGCTCTGCGGCGCGCAGCCCCCGCAAGGGCAAACCCGCAGAGCAGCCTCCCTGCATTCAATTCACTCGGGTTTACGTTGCTCTGCCAGAAGCCAACCGACAAGGAAAATCCTCAGCAGAGCTAAAAGCTATTGAAACGCTATCCCGGCAAGGATGGCTGAGCGCCCGGGTGCAGCGCCGCAAAGTCGCTGGGCTCCGGCAGGGGCGGTGGGCGGGGGCCGCTCCTACAACCTGAGCCCGCGCCCCGGGCGCCGACCCCCGGCGGGACCGCAGGTTCCAACCGGAGCACAGGCCCGAGTCCACGTTCCCTCGGGGAGGGGGCCGGCGAGCAGCCGCGTGACGTCACGCCGCTGACGACACCGCTGCGGCCGGCTCCCACGGCACACGCCCCCTTGCACCTGCGAGCCGGGGGCGGGGCGGCAGGGGGCGGGGCGGCAGGGGGCGTGAGGCCGGGGCGGGCGGGGGCCTCTCCACCGAGACCCTGAGACAAACCAAGCGGCACGTACTGACCTGAGTTTGTCTCCGTCAAAGGCCAACTGAGAGAACGTGCGGTACCAAGTGAAAACGCACGGGGGCAAGCTCAGGGACCCGCCCCTCCGCTTTTGGGCCATGGCCGTGCCGCGGGGGGACTCCGGCCAGGGCGCTCGGCGCCGGGGCCGACCTACACGCGGGGGGCGAGGAGAGACCGCGAGCCGGGACGGCGGGCAGCTCTCCGACTGGAAGCTGTGCGACCCGCGCCCTGCACTTCCCCAGAAGCCGAAGCCGTTTCGGGGACACGCGCCGCGGGCGAGGCCCAGCGCGCCGGCCCACGTCCCGACCCGTCCACCGGAAGCGCGGCCGACCCCGCCCGCGGGCGACGCGCCAGCCCGGCAGGAAGCGCCCGGCGCGCTCGCGGCGACGTCAGCGCGCCCCTCCCGCGGCCGGCGCCGACGTCACGGGGCGGGGCCGCCCGCAGGCGCCGCCAGCGACCCGGCTGTTGCCAGGCGCGCGCGCAGCCAATCAGCGGCCGGCGCCGGCCCCGGCCGCCCTTTGAACCCGGACGGCAACTTCCTGCTGCCGGCGAGCGCACGGTGCGATGCAGTATGTCTGTCGGCGCTGCGGCACAAAGGAACAGCCATTTTGTGACTGCGCTGGCCCCGCACCAAGAGCCATGGGCTCGGGCGCTGCTGCCTGCGCCCGCCGTCGCGCTGCCCGTTGCAGCCGGCACCAGGGCGCCGAGCAGGGCAGCGCGGAGGGACGTCTGGGCGCTGCGGGGCTCCGGGCCCCGCTTCGGCCTCCTCAAAAATGCCGACTGCAGGGCGTTCTCGGCGCCATAAAATGGCTGCCGCCCCCGAGCCCGGAGCCCCACGCAGCCGCGCGGCCCGCCAGGGAGGCCCGAGAGCGGGGTCAGGCCGCGGGGCCCGGAGCGGCCGGCCCCACGCGCGGGAGCGCACACAGCACAGCTGGGGCCCGCGACGCGGCAGCCCACAGGAAGCGGCTCCCCGCCCGCCGGGCCGCGCGGTCGAGGTCGGGAGCGCCGCGCCGGGCCCCCTGGACAGCGGTCAGGGGCGGGCTGGCCGCAGCTCGCCGCCGCCGGCCGCAGCCGCCCATGCAAATCTCACAGGCCGGGAGCGGCGGCGCCCGGCCGGTTGGCGAGTCAGCTGTGGGCTGCCGGGCCCCTCGAACTGCCGCGACTTTCCAGGAAAGCACGCAGGGCCGGCAGCGAAGTTGCCTGCACACAGGAACCGGCAGCTGCAGGGCAGCTCGGTCCAGAAGACGGGCGAGTCCAGGCCCGGACAAGTCCATTTGCCAAAGAATTGGAAATGTGTTTTCAAAGCGAAGCTGAAACAGTTTTGGTCTAATAAGGCAAAATCCAACATTTGTGATAAACTGTGCCCACAACTTTAAAATTTACTAACCTAACAAAAATGTATTTAAAACAAAATTGGGGGAAAAAGTCAATCACATTAGCTAGGATTTAAAATTTGTAATATGGCAATTCATAAGAAAAAACAAGGGCATTCACTAAAAATTAATATACACAGATGATACAAAAATATCTTAAGATTAAGGCTTTATTCCTTAGTCACTAAGAATGTACTCCCAGGAATGTGAAAGAAATCACGATTTGAACAAATAGTATTATTTGTAAACTTCAGAAGATAAAGCATTCCAGATGACTCTTGAAATAAGTCAGTAAATTTACAGCAGCTAAAACTAAAATGCAATATACATTTCCCAACCAGAAAGCACTTAACATAATGCATACAATTACACACCCTAAAATATTTTAAACATAATATATACAATTATAATCACAGAAACAAACACAAAAGTATCTGATCAGTGTTCCAGGATTTCTGTGGTTATAAGTTTGATTTCATAAATGCAAAAACTGTAACCATCAAGTAAATGTTTTGATAAATCAAAATTTTCTAAAATGCCAAGTGTATCAAAAGAAATAGTCAAATAAAAATACAAACTGAGAGGCATCAGTCAAAGGGTCTTTTTTGCAATTTCACTTTTAAATGTACATTTTTTCATTCATATAACTTTCCCAAACGTCTATTTACTAGAATTTACTACTGCTAGGCTCCTGTGTGGCCCCAGCTACAAGTCTGGATATCCTAGATTCTTCAAAGAAAAAATCTGCCTTGTATGTAAAATGGTGCAATGCAGCAATGGCTAAACCGACAAGGTCATTCTTCTGCAACACAAAAACCTAAAAACTGAAATTTACTGACAGAAAAACTGTAGTTTACGGGAAAGGCCCCTTGGAATAAAGGTACCTTACCTTTTGACTGCTGTAAGAGGCCTTAAGTCACAACTCAACTTTCATAAATTGCTACCAAAAAATTAGGGTGTGGCATATTAGCAATCTCAAGGTCATGCTTTAAAAAACGAATCCAAATTAGAAAAATACTTTTAATAGCACAGACAACAATCCATGTCTGTCAAGGTAAACAACTGTAAGCTGAGGTTTCCCCCAAAAAAACGACAAAAAGGAAGAAAGTTGATAGCTCATACCTCGATGCATTGCTGTGTAGCGAACTGTCCTCCTCTTGGCTTTTGTCCTTATTTCTCATCATCTTTTAATTCTTAAATAGTAAGGGGGAGGGGGAATCTGTTTGCTTTGAAGTCCTGTGCCCAGGTATTTACTGTCAAAAGTTGAAAGAAAGGTAAGCTCCGGCTTCTGTGGACGGTTTTTTATCATCAGGAACAAAGTCCTGACGATGTGAACGATACTGATATAACACAACAGCGGTAAGCAACCAGAAAAACCAAAATAATTCTATTTTTTCCTTAAAAAAAAAAAAAGAGAAACCGAACAGTCGAAGCATCACTATCAATAAAGAAAGTTTCTCAAAGTAACACACTGGATACAAATTAACAATCTCTGTATCTTATTGCGTCATCCAGGAATTTCTCATATTTACAAAAAATAAAGCAAAGTTTAGCATACAAATCTTTGAAATTATCATTAATGATCGTGAACTTACCTGATCCATGTAGTATGTCCAAAGCAAGAGTCCTATCTAGTAGTAGAAAAATACAGATCCCAAATAATTAAAAATAAAGGCAAAATTCTCCGTTAAAAAACGAAAAATAAATAAAATAATCTTCAAATATGTTAACTGGTCAAAAAAATAAAGCAATAATTAATACCAAAACGAGTCCGGAAGGAAAAAAACCTCATTAGGCGAGCGCACAAAAATGGAGGTGCGCCATGGCTTCTAAGCTGGAAAAAACAACGACCTGGGCTCTCAGTACGGCTGCTTCTTTCCAACAAGGCACGAAAAGAAAGCTCCTAAAAGCTGCTTTTCTCCCTAAAAAAGGTCCGAATCGACCCTAGTAAGTCACTAGGAGAGGTAGGGGGCTGCGGGGGCCCCCTGAGGCTGCCCGAAAGTTAGGGAAAGTTGCGTAAAGTGAGGCGAAGGCAGGGAGCAGAGCGCGCTCTCTCTAAGGCACAGCCGCCATCTAGAGCCTCCTTCCCAGCTCTGAGAGCTCTGCCTTTGATTGACACTCTCTACATTTACCCCACAACTCAGGTGATGTACCATAGACCCACCCCTTCATCTCCACCAAAAAAAAAAAAAAAATCCACCATCCCAGGGAGCCTGAGGACCCCCACCTCCACACCTCCCAGTCCCTCCAGACCACCCCATCAGGGGTGGGGGAGGGCTTCTTAACCCCCTCTAGCTCAAGCACCCTTTTTAAGCCAGAGAGAAATGTAATTTGTTCCTTTTGTCTAAAGATCTGCTAAATATTTCAGTCCTTGAGCTAAAATAACTTCCTCCCTGGACAGGAAGTGGTGTTTTATCAAGCCATTTTGAAAAAGGGATAATTCTTTGAGAATCTAAAGCCCATATTAAGTACTAATCTTTTGAAAGATTAACCCCCCCAAGGGTAAAATGGTTTCCAAATAAAAGCAAAACCTTTATTTCATAAATTAAATTGAAGTTTTGTCTTCTTTATGATGCCTAAAAATCATCTTAAGACAAAATTTAAGGGGGAATTTCCAATCCCAACTGGAAGGGGTAATTTTTTATAACTCAAGAGCGCCTCCCTAGTGTTCAGTTGCATTACAGCAAAAGTTAACACAACTAGCTTTTATTCAAGAATCTCAATATATTTCTTTGTACTTTCACAAAAATTCTTCAATCCATCTAAAATCCTGTTAGTGTCACCCCCCAAAAAATGCTCATAACCACAATATATTTATTTCCCACACTAATTCAAGCACAACAACGTTCTTCAAACTCAATAGCATGAACCAACCATGGTCACCTTTACATCAAAAACCCAAGAAACTCCACCTCCAAAACCAACAGAATATACTCAAACCTTCCCCTCATATTTCAATCAAATAAACTAAATCCATTGCAACAAGTTATTAACAACAGTCAAATCTGATGGCAAATTATCCAGGAAAGATCACAGGACAAGTTCCCGTAAGTTACCAAAACCATGAGATCAACAGAAACAAAATGATTACTGAGCCAAAAGCAATAATTAAATATCCTCAAGCCCCTCAGGCAGACAAGTACTCATCCATCCACATACTCCCCAAATCCAATCAACGTTCCTTAATCAACATGATAATCTACCAGAACCTTCTCCATCCTCACTGAGGAAATCAATTTTAGGTCACACCCAACAAAAGCAACATAGTTGAATCTAGATAAATATAAAATCCATCAGCAAATCTATTTGAATTCATACTTCCTTACACAAAAAGATAACTTCCGTAACAGAATCAAAGCCCAAAATTCCACTTTTTAATTTATACAAAGACCCTCCACTTCATCAGCCAATGGGAATAAGGCACATGTTCTGATCACAGACGTGTATACTGACATTTGGCATTAGTTACAAGTAGCATGATTAAAAAAAAGTAACCTGAATTGTTCTTTGTTCTCTGAATAACGGGAAAATACAAGCAATGATTCATTTGATTTACCAAAATAGCCCACCACTTCATCATCAGTTACTGAAATGCTATTAGTTGATATCAACAAATGAATAAAACCTGGCCCCTGAAAGTCAAATGGCATAGTGTGATGCTTTTATTCTAAATCCTCAATTGTACAGAGTGAGGAAAATGCTAGATATTAACTCTATTTCAAATGTATATGAAATATATTATACATTATTGTCAACAAAATGTTTTGTGTTGACTCAAAGGATATTTCCCTATAAATCTAATACCTTTTCCCAATGGTAAGCTTATAGGAGACATCAGTTTCATTTTTCACATGTATATCTTACCACAAGTTATTATATTAAAAGCCCTAAGTAAAAAGGAACATTTACATTAACATAAAACAATTCAGAAATAAATCACACACATCACTCATCCTCAATTTTGAGGCAACATGCATTCCCTTACAAACTTCTCTAAAATCTCATGGTTGATCAAAGATTGTTATTACTCATAAACTAAATTGTTCCCGGCCCCAGGTGTTTCAAGAAAGCACATATCAGCATTGCAACCAAATGACCATCTCAAAGCACAAATAAATTTCAACAACTCTGAAAAAAAAAAAACCACAAGTCTTAATCAAATCCACCATTTTCCAACATGCCATTTCCACTTTCAGTTTTATTCAGTACACTCTACTGCTGGGTAAATGTAAAGGTTAGAGAGTTATGAAGGCAATAAATGAACATTTAAAATGAAACTTCCACTTTCAAATAAAAAAGGCTCAAACTGAGAAATTTTGAAGTGTTAGAAATTTTATTAAAGTTAACATTCCATGATTCCATACAAATCAAATTGCAAAAAATTCCAAGGATACTACCACCTATGTTAATGTGCCATCTTTCTTCTCCAAATGTCAAAAATGTACTTCTTCTAATGATACAAAAAGTCTTTAGAAAGTCAAATCCACTGTCCATTTATGTTGGGTAAGAAACCTATTGTCTTCATTCACTTCATGGAATCCATGTTAAAAGAGCCCTGTCTTGGTTGTATAGCATTCTTGTGTTAATCCATTTTCCACACTTCCCCATAGTGGGTTGCCATCTTGATTTCTCAGTAGTAGGGTCCATTTGAGACTCTTCAAGCTGACTGGGTGCTTGATAAAACAAAAATTAAAAGAAAAAAATGCTGTTGGAATACCAATTATCTTACTCCTCCAAATAGAAAACATCCACCCACCTTGAAGATATCCTATCATACACAATTTTAATTTAGTAACAGCTTTCCACTGTGAAACTGTATAAAAGTAGTATGCAATACACACATACAATTCCTCAGATGGAATCAACAGAAATACTATATACAGGAAACAAAGTTCTTCTACTGTCACAGATACATTTGTATCCACAAAAAAGTGGCAGTTAAGAGCCAATTTTTTAATATTTAACATCATTATACTGTGTGTATGCAAAGTAAAAACAAAAATTAAAATTCAAAATTCCTGGAAAGCTACATTACAGAAGCACTGTGGATTCTGAATCTCAATGCAGAAAACTTTCCAAGCTTCTTCAAAGAAAACTAATTATAGAAAAGAATCTTAAGGGATTAAAAAAAAAAAAAAAAAACAAAGCAGTGGATCACAGCATAGTTTTCCAAGACAACAAATGTTAATTTATTTAGGTAACACAAGTGGCCAATACAAGAAGGCAACATATTAGCTATGCATCTAGGGCTGCAGAAAAACATGTAGCCAATAGAAAAAAATATCAAAATGTGAAAATTCTGCCATGCTTACTTGATATTTGAAATAAAGTGCTATCACTTTTCATTAAAAGTTTTATTTATTTATATTTGAAAGGCAGAGCAACATAAAGAGAACAGTGACACACAAAAAGAGATCTTCCATCTGCTGGTTCACTCCCCAAATGCCCACAACAGCAAAGGGCTGGGCCAAACAGGAGCCAGGAGCTCCATCCAGGTTTCCCATGTGGGTGGCAGGGAGGGACCTAAGTACTTGAGCCATTACCTACTGCCTCCCAGGGTACAAAACAGCAGGAAGGTAAATGGGAATTAGTGCAGACTCAGACCCAGGCACTACAATATGGAAAGTGGGCACCCAAGCAGGATCATCACTTCTGAGCCAAACACCTGCCCCAAAAGGCTATCACTTTTCAAATTCCAGACTATTAAATAAAATTGCATTTCAAATGTGTTCCTACAGAAAAATCTGTTCTTTAAATAATCTGAATTGAAGGGAGAAGTGTAAAGCCAGGTATTTTAACATTAAGTAAATGATCTATATTCATCATATCAAACAGACCCAAAACAAGTTGTAAACTCTAGTCCTCTCTTGTAAATCTTACAGCTTTCCTACTGAATATCTTAAGACACTGTAACTGACTAAAAGATAAATTTGGGGTATTTTTGCTCATTAGGTTAACCTTCTTGCCTCCCTAACTATAATTGGCACATACTATCCCCTACATACAATATACTTTTCTAAACTATTCAACCAACAGATACAAACATCCATGTTTAAAAGTGTTGATTGAGAAAGTGTCAGAACATCAATAAAACATCAAAACAAACTATTTCTCCTTAATAGATTCTGCAGATTTCTCCAACACCTCAAAAGGAGAAGTAAATAAATCATTCCCTGTATTAGTCAAATACCTTCCATTTTCCTTGTTCATTTCTTAAAATTAAGGGACATGAACTTCTTAAGAGATGTTGAGAATAATCTCATCATCCTCCTCTTATTATAAACAAACTTCTCCTCAATCTCTATTGTTACAATGGGTGGTAAAGCTCTAAATGGAGTTGGAGTTATAAATACTATTTATGGTGAACAATGACACTTAAGAATGCATTAATTTCATGTTTTATTCAATTTTAATAGTGACAGGTGCAATTTATTCAATGTGACAGTAAATGATAAGCTCAATGCTTAATATTCTTCTGTCATGGGACAAGAAGTAAAATCTTCCCATAACAGTGTATAAAATTTCCTTCCAAACCCATTATTTGAAAACAGTAATATCAAAAGAAAGCCTAATATTAAAAATTATTCCAAAATCTTAAATAAAATGCACTGGTTTATGTGACAATTAGGAAAATAGTAGCAAATTGTCCTACTATCACAGTCATATTTAAGAAAATGGAGGGGAAAAGGTAAAAACCAAAAAGAATGCTACTGAAAAAGGCAGGCAACTCTTAGACATTAAAAAGCCTACCAAGTGGCGTTCAATTCACATTCCTGCAAAGCCAATCCAAGCCAAGAAAGAATTTTTACTAACAAGTACAAGGGCTCAGTCAAGCATCAAAGTTGGTAAAAAGGTAAAAGATCCATGAGGGATTTAGGAGTAATCTATTTATTTTCATGGAATTTCAAATTCTTATAAAGGTGAAATTTGCAAATAAGCAAGTTAGGTTAAATTTTTTTAAAAACCAGAATCAGGCATAAGTTCTTTGGGCTTGGAAATTTTCCTGACAATAAAATCCAGTTCTTCACATCAAAACAGGAATAGTTCCGCCATCTACCTCTTATGGCAGTAGTGAGGGTAAAATGAGTTTGTACATTTCTAGCAATTATATCACTGGTACACAGAAAAAGATTTCAATAAATGTGAACTGCCATGCTGATCTGCCATAACAGCCAAGGTACTTAACTACAAACTAACCTTACTTTGTGTAGCAAAAAGTGCAATAAGGGAATCTTCTGAAGAAACAAGGGGTCAAGTATTTAAAGACCTTCTGGTTTCAAATTAAAATAAAATCAGTGTGCCCCAATAGAAATGGGTAGGGATGAGGCATTCCAGCCCTACTCCAATCCCTTCTCCAGTCATATGTGGACTCCTGCAGACCCCGGAAGACCAGGCTGGGGTCCAGAATCCCATCAGACAGACCTTGATCGTCTGTGCATTTCAATTGGAAAATATAAATGATTGGGGAAACTTTTCCACTCTGATAGTCAGTAGATTTTATCTCCTTTTTAAGGAAAATTTGCTTGCTCTGATAATTCCAACAAACAAAAGTAAAAGCTTTGAAGACCAACAGGTAATGAGTAACTGCAAAAACATGAAATCCTCATCTGGTACATCCACAAGTTGAAGACCTTGAAACAGCGTGACGGTCTTTAAATTCTACTTCAGTAAATTGGTTCCAAAAACACTGCGACATTATAAAAATACGCTGTTGGCTGAAATGCAAGCACGGGGTTTAAGGCAGGCTCTCCCACAATAAACCACCTTCTTACCTCTATGTTCTCAGCAATCTGTCATTTTTTTAAACTATTTTTATTTCCTTCTTTATTTTTTTTGACAGGCAGAGTGGACAGTCAGACAGAGAGAAAGGTCTATCCTTTTCCATTGGTTCACCCCGCAGTGGCCACTGCAGCTGGCGTGCTGCGCCTGGCGCACTGCGCTGATCCAAAGCCAGAAGCCAGGTGTTTCTCCTGGTCTCCATTCGGTTGCAGGGCCCAAGCACTTGGGCCATCCTCCACTGCACTCCCTGGCCACAGCAGAGAGCTGGCCTGGAAGAGGAGCAACCAAGACAGAATCCGGTGCCCTGACCGGGACTAGAACCCGGGGTGCCGGCGCCGCAAGCGGAGGATTAGCCTAGTGAGCCGTGGCACTGCCCGCAATCTTTGTCATTTTTAATAAAGAAAAACATGACAGAAGAGTACAAGGAAAAATAAATGATTCTTAATTTTTAAAATAAATTAGTAATAAAGCTGTTATTAAACTGATGCATTCTGTGTTATTTAAGAAACTTTTAACACTTTTAACACCTATTTTAAAACTAAAGGGTCAAATAGTAAATATGCATCCTTCCAATCATGTGTTAAGATTCTTGGTACTTATGATTGATTTCAATCTTCTTCGCACTTACTGTAAATTTGACATTTATGGAAGCCTAAAAAGTAAATTCATACAGTCTGTCTTATTACCTTGCATCCCCAACAGAACATGTGTTAACAAATCTGGGTCTTAAATAAAAAACTAACTACAACGTGATTTGGAAAAGACCAACTAGCTGCTCGTTTCTAAGAGACCGATCTCGATTATAAATGAGAAATCATCTTTTTGAAAAGTTTTACTATCAAATAAAATCTTCCAACTGTCACTACTGGCTTGAAACAACTAGAAAGACCCAGCTCTCCTCACTTTTAATTTTACTGAGTTAAAATTTTGGCTTTCAGGCAAAATTTGTTTTAATAGTGAATTTCACTTTGCTTTTTATAAAAACAGACCCAGAACACTACTTGATAAACATGTTTAACAGCAGCTGTATTTATATAATAAATCAACAAGTAGTTCCTGAGCACCTACTATGTGCCAGGCAAATCATCTCTTCAAAACATTATTAGGGGGGCCGGTGCTGTGGCGCAGTGGGTTAAAGCCCTGGCCTGCAGCGCCAACATCCCATATGGGCACCGTTTCTAGTCCCGGGTGCTCCTCTTCCGATCCAGCTCACTGCTAAGGCCTGGGAAAGCAGTAGAAGATGGCCCAAGTCCTTGGGCCCCTGCACCCACGTGAGAGACCTGGAAGAAGCTCCTGGCTCCTGGCTTCAGATAGGCGTAGCTCTGGCCATTGTGGCCATCTGGGGAGTGAACCAGCGGATGGAAGACCTCTCTGTCTCTACCTCTCTTTGAAATTCTTTCAAATAAATAAAATAAATCTTTAAAAAAACAAAAACATTAACTATTAGGGTGGGTACTGTGGCACAACACAGGAAGCCACCAGCTGGGACACAGCTTCCCACCCAGGTTCTTGCTGATGGGCCTAGGTAGAGGTGACTGCCCGATCCTTGGGCCCCAGCCAGCCACAGGCGAGAAGCAGATCCAGCTTCTAGTTCTTGGCTTCAGCTCTTTCTCCCCATTTATCCTTGCTTTGTCACTCTTTCAAAAATAAGTTATATATATATAAAATCAGACATTAAGCTAATAATTGCACTACATTAGTTACACTTTCATCTCTGCCCTCCCCTTTGCTTGTTAAAAACAAAGATTTTCTTGGGCCGGTGTTTGATCCGTGCACACGCGAATGCCTGGGTTTGGCTGTTGCTGGTTCCAGTTTCCTGCTCATGTGTGATCTCTGAGGCAGTGATGATAGCTCCAAACGGGTTCCCGCAACCAACGTGTCAGACCTGAACTGAGTTCCTGCTCCTGTGTTCAGCCCAACCCAACTCGGGCATCTGAGCAGTGAACCAGCACACACAGAGAAAAGAAGGACACTCTTTTTTACTCTGTTACTTTTTCTTTGCCTCTCAAATAAATTTTATAAAAAAAGAAAAAAACTGAGGCAGGCACTGTGGCTCAGTGGGTTAAGGCCCCAGCCTGCAGCACCAGCATCCCATACGGGCGCCGGTTCGAGTCCCGGCTGCTCCACTTCCGATCCAGCTCTCTGCTATGGCCTGGGAAAGCAGTAGAAGATGGCCCAAGTGCTTGGGCCCCTGCACCCATGTGAGAGACCTGGAAGAAGCTCCTGGTTTCGGATCAGCTCAGCTCTGGCCGTTTCGGTCATTTGGGGAGTGAACCAGCAGAATGGAAGATCTCTCTCTCTCTCTCTCTGGCTCTACCTCTCTCTGTAACTCTTTCAAATAAATAAAATAATTCTTTAAAAAAAAAAAAAAAAAAACATTTTTCAGGCTAGTAGCCACTTATACAATGAAAGCTTTAGTAGTAATAAGAGGCAAAAATCATCATCTAAAATTCAGATTCCCAAAGTTTCACAAAGAATTATTCCTATGAAACAGCTAGTATACAATTACTTAAAAAAGTTCTGTCAGTAATAATTCAATAATTTAACTCATTTGTAAAAACTTCATACTTTATTCTGTTTCTCAGCTTGGGAATTAGAGAAACTACTCCCAGGGACCATGTTATTGTGCAGTGGGGTAAGCCTCTGCCTGGGACACAGGCATCTCTTATGCCCATCTGAGTCTCAGCTGCTAGGCCTCCAATCCAGTTCTCTGCTTATGGTCCTGGGCAAGCAGTGGAAGGTGGCCCAGCTTTGGCCTGGCCAATCCTTGCCTGATGCAGCCATCTGGGGAATGAACCAGTAGATGGAAGATCTCTCTAAAAGTGTCTTTCAAATAAATAATCTTTAATCAAATAAATAATCTTTTCAAATAAATAAATCTTTTAAAAAATAAAAGAAAACCCACTCCATGGTAGTAGAAGGAACATATTTCCCAGTATCAAAGTAAAATCTCAGTGTCAGTCAAGCTAAATACCTCTTTGATGAACTTTCAAGTTTTAGGAAAGTTTAGAATTAATTTATTACAAGTAATTAATTATAACACTGAAAATCTTAAAAGCATGTCCTAGTACCAAAAGAGAAGCCCAAAGGCCTTCTGAGTTCTACAGATAAAGCTGACAGCTGGGGGAGATCCAGTGAAGGTTGGCAAGCTTTCCTTATCAAACAATATGGCAGATGTCTTAGGCTGTACAGCTATGTAGCACAACTATCAAGTTGGAAAGTAGCCATGAACAATTATCTAAACCAAACAGCAGCTGTGTTGCAATAAAACTTTATTTACAAAAACATCAAGGGCCTTGACCAGATCAAAGACAGTGTTAGACGCATATTCAAGTGTGAGTGAGTTTACATTTGAATTTTGGCAGAATCTACGTGAAGAAATAGGTTGGAATAAATTAATAAGCAAAATTTTATTAATAAACTTCAAATCCAACCGTTTTGATGTTCTTATAACGTTTTGCTAAATCCCTCTATTTTTTTTTACAATTCTGCCTCAATTACTCAAAAATTCCCAAACTCATTTAAATAGATCAAGCATACAAATTAAATACTCACTAAAGGCTTCCACCGTCCGTTACACTGTGCAGGCCGCTGGAGTGCCGACATCCTGCAGAAGACAAAAGAACGTCATTTACTCACAGGCAAAGACAAGTGCAATGCCCTGGTGTCCACCAGAACTTCAGCGTCCTGTCAGGCTCACTCATCAGTAAACCAAAGCACACCTGTATGATGAACAACCTATTCCAAACAAAGCACAGAGAAGCTGAGAAGATTGTAACTCTAGGAGCACAGGAAGCTCAGTGTAGAGCAAGTTCTATAAAACCACAAGCTTCAGGCTCAACCCTCAAGAACTCTGAAACAGTATGCAAATACTCGGCCCCCTCTCTTTGGGATCGGATAGTCATCAAGGGTTGAAAGCTAGTTGTTTTTTAACAGAGCCAACATCATTCTTTTTTTTGTTTCTGGTTCTCATCTAATCTATTTTCAAGCCTTCTAAACAAAGGAGAGCTCTCATTACCCATCTGCAAGGTCACTTTTCCACTTAGTATTATTTGCCACCATTACATACTACAATCAACACAATACACACAATCATTGTGGTCATCTACCACTAGCATGCTAATGATCTGGAGACCCAAGGCAACACTAACCCATTCTAAGACATGTACTTGATAACAAAATATTGTAGCTGTACTTTTCACTACATTTAAATATCTCCTCTCTACAAAAGGAAACACTGTTACTCATATCTGAAATACCTCTGCATGCAAGTGTATTGCTTTTCCAGCCAGCTTGTTCCTAAGTATGATAATAATAATAAAATTCATGCAGAATGTTTTAAATGTTATTTAAAAGTTCAAGATAAAAGTAAGATTTTTAGAAGGCAAAGTAGTATGCCGTAAGTTTAGAACTTCAAATTAATAGAGCAAAGGTGCTTCAAAGTTACTGTAAGAACAGGTGTTCAAATACCTTCTCAAAAAGTTAGCAAATGAAACTGAAAAGAAACATTATTTTTAAGCTTCCAAATTTTACCTGACCTGATGAGGCAGGATTTTGTTAACAAATCTTAAACCAATGAAGTAAAATAAATTAATTTAAATACTAATTAAAACTAACTGAAATGCTGATGTAAGAAATTTCTTTGATAAATCTATCGCATTGGTCTGATCCTGAAAAATTTATGGAAATTATGTTTATAGAATTAGGCTAGAGATAATGTGCTTACAAATAAGTAACCTACGAGTTCAACCAGTGTTTGATTTTTTTAAAGGTTTATTTATTTAATTATTGAAAGGCAAAGATCTTCCCTCGGCTGGTTCACTCCCCAGATGGGCTGGGCTAGGCCGAAGCCAGGAGCTTCTTCCAGAGCACAAGGACTTGGGCCATTCTCCGCTGCTTTTCTAAGCGCATTAACAGGGAGCTGGGTGGAAGTGGAACAGCCTGGACTCAACTGACGCCCAAACGGGAAGCCAACTGTGCAGGCAGAGGCTTAAGCTTCTACCACAGCTGCCACAGGGCCGGCCCCAAGCACTGTTTGACTCTGAGTTCTCAAACTACCGGAACAGAAAAGGACTTTGACCTCGCTTTGCATTGGTGTCAGAGATTTCGTGGAGATGCAATCCACCATGGCACCTACTTCCTCAAACCTGACCAAGTTTGCAATAGTTTTTTGCCAGTCTTTGAAAAGGGGCACAGGGTTGCAGAACTCAACTTAAATGCTGATAATTTTCTATTTCCAGCTATCATTAGTATCTTGAAATACTATGGTTTCTGATTCAATGATAAATCACAGATATAATGTAATTTTGATTGCTGGTCTTCAATTCTTATATTATCATTAGCCTGTTCCTGTTCTTCTTACAATATTTGTCACCTTAATTCCTCATTTTAAAATTAAAGAATTAAAGCTATGAGCACTATGAAATATAAGACATCTACAAAAAACAGGGTAAAGATAAAGTAATGAATGTTTCCAAGAAACCTGCTGTAAGACAACTCACAAAACATCAGTTACAAAATACTCAGCTGGGCCACCCCAACTAAAATAAAATGAGTATCATTACCAAGAAGTACATGTTGAAGACTTAATTGCTTGTTTAAGAAATATGCAATTTCAAATAAACGGCTTAGTTTCAAAGAGCAAAAAAATATTTTCCAAACACAGATCGAGCACTACATAATGTATAAATCAAAACTGTTTTCAAACATACAAAACAGGCTGCTTGAATGCTGTAAATAGCTCGTATCTTATTACATGCTTCCACTTAAAACTGTAGAAGTTAATTACATGTAGAAAAAGCCAATTTGAAAATAAAAGTTTGCAATGAACCACTCCATTTGAGAAGATAGGTGGTAAAATGAGGATGCTTATCTTTGAAGTGCAGACATTTCTTAAACAAAATTAAATAGATTATATCAGGCATGCAAATTTTAAGTCCTCTTATTTATAGTCTTGGCCAGCTGCAAACTATAATGTGATATATGAAAATATACCCCAATTTAGATCAGATAAGGAAGTATTAAAAGAAATTTAGAATGCTGATTTATTATTTAAATATGTCACACGTTAATTGCTCTACTAAGGCCTATTTTCCAATATGTCAGCTTTTACACTACTTACTTTTACACTACTTACTAATATAGTTTCAAATGCCTAAAAATCAGCAGGGAAGTCAAGTACACTAACATCTCAGTCTTACGTTATTCCAATAGTTTCATCAGAAAAATAACCCATGATCAATTACAAAGCAAAAATTAGTTTGTATACTAGAATTAAACACTTCTTACAACTATTTTTATCACAAAACTTAAGAAGGATCCTAAAAGACTGGACTCTCCAAAGCCTTCAAACAAATTAGCAGATGAAGGTCTAGAGAAAGCAGAATGTCAAGACTGCAGGGCTGACTTCCATAGAAGCTGAATCTCAGTTACATGTTCCCATCACACACCTGATTACAGAAGACAGAAGCGTCCTCTTAGTACCACTTTTTCCCTAACACTTCAGCAAAATCAGACAAAAAGCAAATCAATTGATTGTTCATACCCCAATTTTTAAAAAATCATGAAACTGAATAACAGTAAACTTAGTTTTAAAGAAAATTACATTCGAGCTGACCTATGTCATATAACCCAGACTCTTTTGAAAGTCATTTTATGGCTCATGAAAACCTTATGAGTACAACATGGCTTCTTTTCACTCTGTGGAATGTCAGCTCACTTTGTAAACAGTTATCATAATAATAAATGCAATCTAACCCAACCACCAGCAGGATCCAAAGATTTTTATGATCAACTAATCCAAAATGCTAAAATACAAGCATATATTTAAGTATACAATCATTCTGGTTTTTAAGCAGAGAACAGTGGTAAATAACAACTTACTTTTCCTATGAAATAAAATAATTGAGAGTAAAATGTATCTACTTATCTACTATATATACACATGTATCTTACAGATTATATGTTACCTACTTATAATAGTACCTACATTTACAGTTGTTCTTATTTATCAACCAATTTTGTCCACAATACAAGACTGGCTCAAACAGTATATATGAAAATATTATATAAAGTATTATCATAAAAGTAAACATAAATTTTCATAAAATATGATTTTCTAGTGTTTTGTTGGTGATAAAAAGATGCATTCCATTAGGCTAGGAATTATAGTCTATCATAGAGAAGTTTTTTTTTGTTAACTACTGATACTAGGATTAAAAACATAAAAATCTTTATGTAACAATTCTTTCAGACGTTTATGATTTGGTCCATTAAAGAGGGGAAATATTCTTGTAGTCCATTATAAATATGTTGCCTTTTACACTCAAAGTGACTTATGTTTCACATGAGAAACCCAACTCTCAATCTTTCTAATGCCCAATGCCATGAATGCCAATTTCATGTTTCATCAGTAGGGACGCTTCATCTTGACATCTGTGCCAAAGCAGCTTGAGATGATGGCCGTTTTGTCTTTTTTTAATATCACTAAAAACCCAAATTTTAGTTTCCTTTTGCACACCATTAAAAGACATAAATTTGATTAAACTACAAAAAGGATAATAAAGAAAAAGCTAAAATAAAACAAAGGCAATAAAAATATTGCTGTTATCTATTTGAACCAATACAGAGGCAACACCAACCAACAAAAGATTGCACTTTATCTTCAACATAAACTTCAAAGACTAAAATATAGACTTTTCCCCATGGTAAACTTGCCTTTGTTTTTAATTAACTAGTCATGTCTATTCTGTTTCCCAAGATGTTTCTTTCATTACTATGTATTTTCTCTGGTCAGTCACTAATAATGACTTGAAATGAATTCCCAGCTTCAATGTTAAGAATAAAGACTCATTTCCGCAAACATCAGCGGACATCTTCTTTTTCCATGTTTCTAATTTTAAGCCATCACTGTATTATATACACGGAATGCTGGCACCAATGCCTACCGCGCTTGTGAATTTTTCCACCTTTTACGCTTTAAATTAAAGGTCTCATTGGGACACAATACTCTAGGTTCTTGGAAAACTCATGAAAATGGGCAAAATGAATATTTTAAGCCCATTTAAGTAACTATAAATATAAGCCTATCTATTTAGCTTTTGAAATGCATCAGCAAATGTAAAATTCTCACCCACTCTTAAAACATGAACTGTATTACTTAAAAGAAAGCTAAAGAACACACATTTCAGATTACAAGACATAATTCGAAGGACTCTAATGCAGACGTAACTGTAATCCGAAAGCAGCACCTGCTGGGAAGTATTTCATGTCCTACTGCTGACATAAATTACAAACACTGGCTGCTTTCACGGGATTAACAAAGTGTTTGGAGGTAAGGTAATGTGATGGGTCTTTCTCATCCTCTTTCATACATAACAGTCTACAGTTTGTTTCACTAACAATGATATTTTTCTACTCAAATGCTAGTAACTATTGAATTTCAGATGTTGAGTAAAAACATTTACTTACTTGCTATTTGAAACACAGGTTTCCCAAAGATTCCTTTATCCCCAAGGATAAAATGTCAAGGTATCAGTCTTCAAAATGGCATCCCTTTTGGAGGAAAAAAGATACTCTATAAATAACTTACTTTAGAAGTTATCAACAGCAAGCAGAAGTAAATGTTGTAAAATTTCATAATTATACAAAATTTATACTAAAATCTACCCTCTAAACTGTTTAAAATATTCTTCCTTAAAATCTATTGGTATGGATAGCAAAATATTCAAATTTTCCAATAAATTAGTTGTATAAATATTTAAAAGATTTAAACTTGTCTGCATGGCGTAATACAGACGTAAAAAGAAAAAAAATGTATCTTTGGTTAATGGTTTCCTTCAGTATAATTCAGTTTTTTCCCTATTTCCAAAACTAAACAAAGGCTTTTAAAGGGCCTTCAGCAGTTTAAACTATTTAAAGGATACATTGTTACAATGGCTATGCTCATATACTTTTAGCATTTCACTGAGTGAAATGGTTTCAAGGCCCGGTATTATTATTTCAAGTATTTTCTCATATTCATAATCCCTAGATTTTTAAAAAGTCGTATGTAAATACTGGTTCTTAAAATATAATTTCTCAAAGAGCAAAACAAAAATCTAATCAGTTTTTATGTCAAAGCAATAAAAAAGATCCCAATCTTACCTCAAATAAAAGATGTATTTGTTCAGAACAATCAGCAATCAAATCGATTTTAATCTTGTAAGTTACCTTTAAAAAAAAAAAGAAAAAAAGATGATATCAACATTTCGATTTTTAAAACATTTCTTGGCCAAAGATTCAGTATGCTGAAACAATGATAAAACATCTGAAAGAGAAGATGTACGTGCAAATTTAAGAATCAGCTCCAGAACACACAACCTACATACACTGAAGGTTGCAATCATTTCTTATCTTTAGTATCTATCAGCAGTCGCTTTCCTCATCTCTTTGGCTGTTTTGACAAATACTATAGATTAAGGCATCAGAAAAAGAATTATAGAAAATTCGAATATCTAGACTGATTTCAGATTATGACCTTGTTTTTCTGTTCCCTCTTTTGATAACAGGAAAAAAACAAAGGGTAAAGTTCATTATTTTTATAGAATGAAATCACCTGAAAATTTCCTTCGCCAGCTAGAAAGATCTTTTACAATTTTGAACAATTAAAAATTGACTCCTCAAAGAAACATTAGTGAAGTTAAAATGGCCACTGGTTACTTTAAATTTTAAAGCACAAGTTATTTGATCTCGCCAAGTGGGATATTAGCTTTGTCTTTTAAGCAAGTCTAGAACTTAGGGTATCTATGACCTTTACTCAATCTCAAACCAGGGTCTTGCATATTTTCTGTCTTCCCCTCCCCCATTTATCATGTGAAAAGATCTTGAGGTTAAACTGCTAGCAATTATTTCTCATTTTACTATTCAAAAGGACTCTTAAAAAAAAAAACTAGATTCCGAGTATCCGTTTAAAACCACTTTTCGGGTTTTAAAATCTCAAAAATGGCCATCTACAAACCCAGAACTGCACTTAAACGGCAGATTCTGTAAGATCAAGATATGCGCAACTGATGGAACCTGTACCACCATCGGAAAGCTGTTCAAAACAACAAAGCAATTTTACTGGGGGCGAAAGGCCCCTAGGTGCTCGGTCGAGCCGGCGGCGGCTCCGGGCGCGGAGGGGCGAGGTGGGTCTGCCCCCACCATTTGCACCTTCCCCGACACGGGCTCCGCGGAGCGAGGGGGGGTCGTCTCGAACACACAAAGGTCGCTGCGTTCGCGGCTCGCCCTTCCAACCCTTCAGCTTCGATCCCCTTCCCGACCATCTCTCCACCAGAAACCCCACACAGGGAGCTCCGCAGACGCCTGCGGAGCTGCGATTTGTTCTTCCCCGCGCAGTTCGTCTGAGGCACGTCTGGGTCTTCCACATGCAACAAATGCAACCAACATGGCTCCCTCCGGCGCCCATGGCCGAGAGCAGCCCCGCTTCCCTGCGGGCCCCGCCGGGAGGGCGCCGCGCCCGAGCCCGGCGCCGGCCGCCCTTTGTGGAAGTTTCGGCGCCGCGCCCTGCGACACCGTCCTTTAACACGACGCGACGATGGACGCAAACTTTCAGACTCGGGCCGGCCCGAGGCGGCGCCCAGTGCCCCCGACCGCCGCCCCCTCGCCCTCTCCGCGGAGCGCGAGGCGCAGGGCGCCCCGGGACCCCCGGCCCCGGCCCGCGAGCCCGCCGCGCGGCCGCCGAAGAGTTAAAAGCCACCACCCAACGGGGGTGAAAGCCCAAGCTGATTCCTGCTCGGACGCGGCCATTGTTCTCCCGACCCCAGCCAGCTCGCGGCGAGCGCGGGGCCTCGGCGGGGGACCCCGAGACGCGCGCGGCCCCCGCCGCGGGCTCGTGCTCGCCGCGAGCTGGGTCGGGTGGCGGGAACGTTGCAGGATGTTCGCGCCGGGGGTTCGCATGGGCAAGGACAATGGTGGGAGGGGGGCCTCTTACCGGTGCGAGCGCGGCCGCCGGGCCCTCCGGTCGCCGCCGCCGCCGCGCGCGCGGCCCCCGCCGCCGCCCCGCGGGCCCCGCCGCCGCCTCGGCCGCCTCAGCCGCCGCCGCCTCAGCCGCCGCCTCGGCCGCCTCAGCCGCCTCAGCCGCCCCCGGGCCCCGAGCCCGCGCGCGCCCCGCCGGCCTCAGCCGCCGCCGCCCGGCTTCCGCGGGCCCGGGGCGGCCGGACGCGGCTCCCCGCCGGCCGCTGGGCCCTGCCGCGCCGCGGCGGAGCGCCTGACAGCTCGGGGTGCTGCTGCCTCTCCGGCCATCTTGTGCCGTGTGTGTGTGGTGTCTCTGCCGTCTCCTCGCTCGGCTTTACTCCCTCCTCCTCCTCCCCCCGCCCCACACACCACACAACATGGCCTCTCCGCTGCGGCGGCGGCTGCGGCGGCGGCAGGAGCTCCGCCGGGCCCCAGCCCGCTCCCCTCCCCCACCGTCCCCGCCTCCCGCCTGCAGCCCGGGGCGCCAGGGCGCACGCGCGCCGCCGCCCGCCCGCCGCGGCCATTGGCTCCGCGAGCTTCCTTCCCGGGCGCCGCCTCGCGCACGCCCGCCGTCTTCCTCCCGCCCAGCAGCAGCGGCCTCCATCCTATTGGCTGGTTCTGACCGCACCCCTTTCGCTGCCTCCGTGCCGATAGGCTCGCTTCGGTGCCACTCACCACCCGAAGGCGTTTCCTGTGTCGGCGCCGCGATTGGCTGACGAGGAAACCTGGGGTTCGGAGCCTGGATGTTGCTCTTGGCCCCGCAGTGCGGACCCCTCCGGGCTTGCTGGGGGGTTCTGGTGAGGGCTGGGCTGGCCAGGCTGCAACCACTCGTACAGTTAATGGCTTTGCCTCTGCGAAAAGCGCAGACTTCCAGGGTTCCGGTTCTTGTCTTCGTATAAAATAAAAAGCGATGAGCAGACACGATGCAGGGCCACAGCGGTTGGGCAAGCAGCCATGTCCTCCAGATTTTTCTTGCAAGCAGCCAGGCCTCCCGTCAGGGTCACCGCCGGGACCAGCGCGGGGAGTGCTCGCCAGAGGAGTGGCTTGAACACACCAGCGCGGTCTACCTGTCCGCCCTTCACCCAGAGACTCAGAGGGGGGGGGGAAAAGCCGGGTTTCCTGTCAGCCCACCTCGCTTTGCTTCTTCCGACTTCCCCCGAGAGCGGCCCCGGGCACACCGCGGCGAGAAATGGAGACCCGGGCCGTCGAGCACTCTCGCCGGGGCCTGGGGCGGAAGGGAGCCGCACGTGCTCGGGGGGAGGGGAGCCGCTGCGGGGCTCGCTGAGATGCCGGGAGGGTGACACACGGAGCTGGCTCCGGCACGTTGTGGAAAACACACAGGGCCTTCGTTCCCCTGGTCGGCGTGCCGCCAGCCTCTTGGGACGGGGCTAGGGCGGGATCCGAGTCTCCGGACGTGTTGGGCGTCGTGGGCCCCTCCTGGGCAGCCTGGCCGCGCTCCTAGGCAGGGTACGGGGCGCACACGCACATGCACACCCTGCTCCGACAGGCCTGAGCCGCCCTCAGCTGAATTTCCAAGCTGGGCCCCTCCGGGAAACAGCCCCCCAGCGGGCCCTCCCTCCCCGTCCTCCCAGAGGTCCCCCGGCTTCGTCGCCCCTGCCCCTTCCTCTGCCCCCACCCCCCAAATACCTGAGACCCGGGCTAGGACTCTGCCTTCCCACACCCTAAGGGGTTCTGAGCCAGCCACACAGGCCTGAACAGGTCTGCATTTCAAAAAGGACCTGAAAATCCTTGGAGCTGCTTGAGATGAGCGCTCCCCGCGGAGTCACTCGGTTGTCACGCGGCGCTCGGACCAGAGACCTGGTCGGCCATCGCCGGTGAGCAGCATCAGAGCCAGGATTGAGCCCCTCCGAGTTCCCCCAAAACCATCCCCTGCTGAATGGAGGACTCAGCTGTTTGTGGCTCTTCCTGGTCTGCCAGCTCCTTCCTCCCCTGCCTCAGTGCGGCTTCCACCTCCAGTGGAATGGAATTCCGGGCCCTGGGCCCCACCCCGCTGCTGCCAGTCCTGGGGGCAGTGTCCCGGCCTCTTGCTTTGAGGGGGGACCCTGCAGGTCAGCTGTGGGGTGACCAGGGAGTCACGCACCCCTGCCCTGGGCTGCTTGCCTCTCTGAAGTGCACATCTGCCACCTTGAAACTTAGTTTCTCATCACAAATGACAGCGGATGTCTTGAGCCAGCCCTCCTTACAGCTGGGAGAGTTCCGTCCTAAATGGAAAGCCCCTGACACCTGGCTGAAGGCCCCCGACCCCTGTGTGTTCCTTTTCACTCTGAGTCCCAAGAGACGCAGCCGCTGCCACCCCGGCTCGGCCAGCCCCGACTCGACAGGAAGCGAACAGCCCAGACCCGAGCCCGGGCTCCTGGTGGACGGCTGTGCCTGCGCTGAGTGGTGCTGCTCCTGTTCCCTAGCGTCCGGTAGGAAACCCGGGTGGGCAGAGAGCGTGTTTACACCTGGCTGCCTGAAAGGAGAGACCTCGGAGGCAGCTGCAGAAGAGTGGGGGAGCGAGAGGAAGAGCCCCGTCCCTCTGTTCCTGGCCTGGCTGCGCATTTTGAATGACGTGAATTTATTACCTTTCTTCATTTCTGAGAGGGAGGGAGGAAACACGGAAGGCGGGAGGGAGGGAGGGCTGTGCTAAATGGCGGCTCTATTGGAGAATTGTTCTTCCTTTATTCTATAAATGTCTGGTGTCTGAGTTTGTTACAGTGAGCACCTGGGTTCTGGGGTGTGTGTGTGTGTGTGTGCGCGCGTGTTTTAAATAAAGGTCTCGCGGAACTTCTCCTCTCTAGGGAGGTGAGCAGCCCCTGCAGTGCTCCTGGCTGATGGGATCTGGTTCCTGGTACGTGACACAGGAGGCAGCAGTCTTCCCTTGCACATGCCCCACCCCCCCACCCGTCCTCCCTGGGTCCCTGAGGCTTCTGGGGCTGAGCTCCTGCCTCTGCACCCCTTCCTCAGCTCCAGGGGGAGGCCAGACGGGGCCTCCGGGAGGGTGTGCTCCCCTCTGGGCTGCCTGTCTTCCCGGCCCTGCTCTCTGGGAGCCGGCAGCCCGGCCCCTCCTGGAGGCTCTGGGCAACTCCAGCTTTCAAGGGCAGGGGACTCAGGCGCCTGCTCTGAGCCTGCGGCCCCGCTCCCCGCCCCACCTGCGCCAGCCTTCATTTCCTTGGCTCACTCAGGGTATGGTGCACACAGGGTCAAAGGCCGTGTGATACTCAAAATGCTGCTCCCAGGCACAAGGAGTGCGCTTCCTCCTTGCTCCAGGGGGAGACGGGGCCTGTGGTCCTCACAGAGCTCACACTCTAGTGCCGACAATAAATAAGAAAACGCCAGGCGGGGGTACAGGGCATGACGACTTCCTGGGAGGGCCGGGGCGGCAGCGATGGAGCTAAAGCAGGGAGGGCCCCCAGCCTGCGGGCCAAGGCAGGGCACCGCGCGCTGCACGCGCACCTTTCCGTTCGCACTTCTTCTTCTGCACTCTTCTTCTAAGTCATAAAATCTCAAGCAGAGGAGGCCAGGAGAGGGGAGGAGAGCTACACGCGCTGAGAAGCTGGGAAGCAGCTGCACGATCACTGATTGAGCAAACTCGGGAAAGCGGGGAGCCAACCCGGCTCACACAGAGAAGGCACCGGCATCGCCACACGCAAGGGCTCCCGGGACTGAGGCTGGAGGAGGAGGCTGCGGGGAGAAATGTGTGGAGAAACTTCCGCCCCCGTCCGTTCTCTGATTTCTACCAACGAGGCCGGCCTCGTCCAGCCAGGGGCGTGGAAGACCCTGCTCTGAGGAATGAGATCAACCCAAGAACAAAACCACAGGGCGGGCCACTGGGGGCCACCCCCAAGAAGCGGTGTAAGCTGGCCACCCTTCAGTGAGCTGGTGGTCAGTGTGGGAGGACTGTGTGCCCCCTCCTGCCTGCCCCTGACTCCACCCCCAGCCGCCGCTTTCCCAAAGCCTGGCCCTCACCCATGAGAGTCTACAGAGCCTCGCATCGGCATTAGCCACATGCCACCCTGGCACTCACGGGAGATAGCCGCTGTGGGCCACCTTCCAGGACAAGCGCTTCCCTTTCCATCTGCGTGGACAGCTGCGGGACACGGCTCCCAAGACAGAACTTACGGGACAGAGCCGGAAACCTGCAGTGGTGGCCGTCCCCGTAACACACCGCTGCATCGCTTCTCCGTCCGTCCTTTGTCACTCCTGAGTTCTCCGGCCACTTCCTAAATGGACCAGCCCCACAGAACTCTTTCTGCTGGGCTTTCCTTTTGGGAGACCAGACCCAATCCTGTGCTCCGAGTTCCCAGACTTTCAGCCTATAATCTGAGCCATGAACAAACTGTGAATGCAAAACACGCAGCTAATGAAAGCTGCTCACACAGACCCATGGGACAGAGAAGAGAGCTGAGGGATAAACCCACCGCATGTGGCCAGGTGATCTCTGATCAGGGGCCGGGTCGTCTCCCAGAAGATGGTATTGGGAGAACTAGATATTCACTTGAAAAAAAAAAAAAAAAAAAAAAAAGAACCTGGACCCCTACCTTACATGACACACAAACATCAAATCAGGTTACATTAAAGATTTAGATACAAGACCCAAAATGATAAAATTCCTAGAATAAAGCAAGACAGGGGAAGCTTCTTGACACTGACCTTGGCAAAGAGTTCTTGGATATGACACCAAAAGCAGAAATAGGCAAGGCGGCTGCCCAAAACTGAAAAGCTTCTGTGTGGTAATCAACAAAGGAAATAATATGCTAAGGAATGGGAGAGCCCCGGCTGCTCCACTTCCGATCCAGCTCTCT